AAATTGCGTACAAAGCGGTAGTTTTTCCGTCTATAGCGAAATGAATCGTTGAGTAAAAAAAAACGCAGTCGCTAACTATGAAAAAAAATATTTTTCCTACATCCTATGTTTTAAAACAATTTTGTGCAACGAACGAAAAATATTACTGCGAAATATTTCCATTACAATACATCGTTTTCATTTGCGTCAATGTAATATTGAGTACATTGTTTCGTTGCAAATCTTTCTTCTTTTAGCACAATTAACCCAAAGAGAGTAAAAAAAACTTTTTAATTCGTTATTTTATTTAGTTACGCATTTCTTTAATTTCCGCTCCAAAAATACTATTGACAAAAAGAGATTACATAAATGCATTTATGCTATGATTCACTTTGAAGTCTGTGCAAACCGTATTATTTAGTTTCAAGGATCAAAGCCACGCGATTTCACTTGCGTCAACATAATGCACGCGCGATTTTCATATAACAACGCGAACCTAACTTCCGTGCAGGAATGATTTTACGCGTAAACATTACTTTTTCTGTTCAAATATAAAGCAGCACGTGCAATGCAGGAAGAGATAATATTAATGTCACATTGCAATTAAGATAAAATAATTATAGACATGACTAAATCTTCTTATATTTGTCAAGTGTAGAATTAAAAAGTAAATATATTACCCCATTTTATCAAATTTTGCGTCAATAACTTAAAAAATATATTTTCTACCGCATTTTTCTGACAAAAACCTATTGTTTTTTTTTTTTATACTTGTGATCACTTGCCGTCAATTATTATGTTACTTAATATTAGTGATAAGTTAGTAATTAGCGTCAAGAAAATGATACTAAGTTCTTGAATATCCCCGTGGGATCCTCATTGAAACGCCCTGAGAGATAGATCTAGGTCAGATATATTGACACTATCACGTCGTATCATAGCCTGTGTGCACAAGAGTAATCCCGAGGGATCGTTTCGCATCTTGTAACATCCCTTCGACTCTCCGCGAGATACTTCATTATGATTACGGTCAGCTAAATCAGCAGAAACGCGAGTATCGCTTCGGATGATTAATTAATTGCGAAAATGATTGACGGTATTCTTCCTAATTCAATAATTGTCATGGAAATGAAGCTATAGCTGGCTCATTTTCGATTATGAACGCACCCAGTGACTATAGACATGTACACCAATTTGACCTATTGATCGAAATTACCTATTGTGACAATATTAACTGTCTTGATCACCTAATGTGTATCCTCGATGACAATATCTTATAAGCTCGATAATTATCAGGTTATCCCTTTAAGTACTAAAACCATAATCTGGATGCACTATTAAAATCTTATCTCGACGTCTTATATATCTGACTAGGTATCGAAGGCAAAGTCGCAAAAATCGACATATATAAGGGATAACGAGTTAAAGCGTCTTTGGCAAGTTCTGTAAAACAGCTTAAGGCGTCACGAGTACCTATCAACTTTTACGTATATTATTTAAAGTTGGAGCGCGCAAACGTTACACGCTTTCTTTATACAAATACCATCGCGTGCTCTCAACGCAATAAGAATTCTCGAAATTCCTGCCAACCGTCTTCGCTTACCGAGGATTCCAGAATACCACGAGTAACTTTAAAATAACTTTGCTCTCGCTACTTATCGACAGAGCTTTCAAATTAGCAAGCCGTCTATCGATATTCGCTGACGTTTCGAGACCGAATGGTGAAGGACTTCGTCGATTTCGCGGGAAATTCGCTTCCGGCGAATAATTTAAAACGAGAGTATATGCTGTACATATGCTGTGTGTAACATTCCGCGCCAAGTGTTGTGTAAATATATTCGAGAACCAACAAATTTTGGAAAAGTTTAAATAAGAATTTCAGAGCACTGTCAACTTTTTTAGGAGAAACTTTTAACAATTCTAAGTTAAAAAAAGAAATTAATTCTCATTAATTTGTTAAACTTACGGCAAGTTAAATTTAATTAAAAAGTTTATCTTCTCGGAAAATATAAGCAAGCAATATTCTAAATTTCTGTTACAAATTTTACATATAAATCTTGATCAAAGTAACGTAATTACATCTACATATTAAAGTGTACGCGTGCCTCCCGGAGTTAACAGAAATGCACAATATGTGTGCGTGATGCGAAAATTGAAAACCAGTGATTCAGTTAATTCTATAGAGAAATGAGAGAGCTAACTTTGACAAATTACGACTCGAACATTACGAAACTGGTTACGGAAATTGGCTCGTAAACAACCTCTCAAGAGGTGAGTGGTACTTTACTCGGACGTTCTCGAAACTTATGCAACCATGTACTTATCTTTACGATTTGCAAATGGAGCAATTAGAGTTCGCCTTATCCATTCTATTACAACTTCGCAGATCCTAAGAACATTATACGACGGTACCACTGTCACGACCGGTTCGCCGTTAAGATCTCGCCACACCCTCGTCTTCAATTGTAAATTTATTCAAGAGCCTAGATAGTCTTGATCGGTCACGCTCAACCTATCACCCTGAACAAACAACTATCCGCCATCGAATCTTCGTGGACAATAACAAACCTTTCAACCTGTTGGATCGACCGTGAATTAATTGAATTGGACATTCACGATTACTTTCACAGGCATGTAAAAAAAAAATCAGAGCACAATGCAAGCAAAAGGATGGTTTTGAAAAATTACGTTCTTCATCTGCGCTTAAAAAAAAAAGATAGAAAAAGGAGGACATTGGAAACCACATCATTTTTTAAACTCTCAGCGCAACATATGGCGAGAAAACGCTGCGCCGTTATTCCATTAGTCGTGACCTCAAAATTATCATCATGCATGTTCTATTTTGGCGCCCATAATATGCATCTCGCGCGAAACTCGACACTCCAAGATGTCGCTGAATAACCCGTGAAATCGCGAGGCGAGTCATCTCAACCATGCTTCTTTGTTCCGCCGCGTAAACTGCAAACGAACTGCCAGTAAAGCTACCCTTCGAGCGCCACTTAAATTACGGGATTTTCACGGGTACAAAGGCATCAGCTAGGAGCGACGTGTCCGGCATTATCACGGAATCTGGGAGACAATGCTACTGCTGGGTGTAGCCGACCGCACGGCGTGGCGCGGCGCATAATAATTTTCACTTTACTTACGAGAAAATAGCCGCGACAATTATCCAAGCATGCTCCGACAAGACTGTCGGTCGTAATTTTACGACTGACTCCAACAATTTTCCTCGTGATGAAACTTCCCCGGAGAAAACCTCCGCACAAATTCCCCCATGGACACTTTGCAATTCGCGAGGAGATATCGTATCATCCGATAAAATAATTGAAGAAGGCAAAATGATTGAGAAGAGCACTCTTATCTTTTTTTCACATTAATACTACTGCGAACGCTTTCATATTATCGAAAAATAAACTGATACTCGAGAAAATATAAATAAATGACCTTTTTAAATGCTAATTAGAGGTAATTGACAGACAACTGAATAAGTATTATCGATACAATTTATTAAATAG